TTTCTTTCCTAATTTTTTCTCATTATTTCTGGAGAAAGTTTCTCCGTACGTTCCCTTTAATTCGTCATTCCGGGCGATTCTACCCTAATTTGCCTCGGGCGAAGTCGATTACCGGAAGTCTGAAGTTTTTAATTGCGTTTAATCTATTGAAAGAACGTTCATTCTCAACACACCGTTTAGGAACTACATCTTTCAAGATAAATTAGGAGTAATTACTTTCGAACGTCAAACTTTCTCCTCCGAAACAAAACTCTTTCATCTCACTTTCAACTACCCTTCTTACGCACCTTTCAATAATTATACGAAATACTTTAAGAAACAATTAATAGTGGTTCAAATTAAGGAGGAAAAATTGTTGTTGCTGCCACGCCCTCGCCGGGAATCGAACCCGGGACCTTTCGCTTTATGCACCACAGCTCTAACCACTAAACTACGCGAGGTGACAGTAGCAATAACGACGTAACTTACTTATTAGGTAACCGATTGGTCGGAATGAATGTATATATATATATTATATTAATTTGAAAATTCATTTAATTCTTATCCACAACAACTATAATTATTATTTAACCTGTTTGCAATGGCTTTGTAATTTGAAATTTTAACAGTCATCGTAGAATAATAGTAATTGAAGGAAACTGCTTGTACAAAACTCTCCTCGGAGAAAATTTTAATTATTTTGACTAGACTGCTGAATTCCCATTTCCAAGCGATATAGAGGCAATGCGTCTTCTATTTATTTCGTGATGGCGACCCTTAGACACATTTCCCCTGCGGCATCTCGCGCACAGGGGTGGCTCTGGTAATTGAAGGTTTCGGTGTTGTTGCATCGTAAAGAATGACAGCGGGTAGGTTTTATTGAAGCCATAAAACTTGGACGAGGTTGCCACGGTGGCTCCTACCCCTGTCACTTTCCGCCGCAGCCCTTACCTTCCTAATAACACGACGAAAAGTAAATAAATAAACTGTTAATACTAACGTATTCAACAAGTTATTAATACCAAAGTACGTAGAGAGGACACTTTTCTAATTTGTTTTAAACTCTTTTCGCTTTCCTGTTGATGTAGATTTAGTTCCAATTCTGGACGGAAGTGGAGGGGGTAAATATTCCCACAATAATTTTCATAGTTTCGAGGTAATAAATGTCAGAACTCTTGGGAGGGGAAATTTCTCTATTAGGTCTCCCACCCTGCATTCGTCAGTCCCACTGCGTGGGTGCTTAAGACAGTTCACCACTCTTAGTGGTTGGAAATAATCAGAGGGAAAAGGGAGGGAGAAGTCAGAAGAAAAGAGTCACACATGTCCCCGACTAGAAATTAGTTCAGAGAACCTGGATTATGATCAGATGCGGATCAGATTTTCCGTAATACGGACATCTGATCAGTTTCTGATCAGAGTACAGTCCTCTATCCGTTGATCCACCGATCTGATCAGTTTCTGATCTGAGTACAGTACTCTATCCGTTGATCCACCGATCTGATCAGTTTCTGATCAGAGTACAGTACTCCATTCCTTGATCTAATCATCCGATCAGAAATTGATCAGCGCACAGTACTCTATCTGTTGATCCAACCATCTGATCAGAAATTGATCATAGTAGAGTATCCTATCCCTTAATCCAGTCATCTGACCAATTTCTTATCACAATCTAATGCTAAAAATTCTATTACGGTTTCGGTACAATCTTTAAATCAAGATTGTATCCGATGTTCTGAACTGGATCATAATACAGAACTTAATTTTTTATCTGATTTATTCTGTATGCAATACTGTTCGTCAAACCAACGGATCCGTCATGGATCTTAGAAACAAATCCGACAGGGATTTTTCAAATGGATCCTATGTTGATCATATATGGCGTGACGATTTTCCATCATACCCGGATCAAAAAGCCTGATTTATTTCTGATCAATCTTCAGGCAATTCTGATCGGCATCGGATCCAATCCACTAACTAATTTCCAGTCGGGTCGTTCTCGTTTCTCTGCCGTGCCGTGCCCGTCATGGGTCGCGAACTATCCAATCGTTCGAAATGTTACCTCATAATGATACGGCAAGTGATGATTACATATTTGATGGACAATGGAAGGATACGGTAGTAGCGCGGCATGAATACTGCACTAAATGTGTGAATCGGCCTTTATCCAACGTTTCGCCAGTAGCTTTGGTTGTTATTCTCAGAGAATGTAACGAAGATCCAAAGAATTAGTGCAACTTCAGCAACAGAATATAACTCTCTTTAGAATCCATGGTTATACTTTATATCCATTTTAAAACACCTACTTGAATGAAATAATGTAAAAATATGACCAGATATTTACTTTTGAAACGCATTATTCGTAATCATCCGTTAACAAGGAATTGAAGATTATAAATGCGTTCTGGCTGCTTCACTTACAATTCGCGTGTTCGTTTGTATGAAAACTGTCTGGCATTGTTCTATCGAAAAAAATGTGGTAGAGCAACCTCGGTTTTTGCGAAGTTTCCTAGCGAATTTAAGTTTCCGTTTTCTATTTTTTTTTTGGTGTTTCTGTTTCGTTTCTATTTTTGTTGCAACAGTTGTAAATGAGATTTGTTTGCGTGACGGCGTAGAAAACCCATGTAACATGTACATATATATATATACGTGTTGTGAACCGTGTGAATGGGTTTTCCTAGCGAGCAAACATTCGCTCCAATTAGACGCAGAAATTAATTTTCGAGCTGCTCACCATTGAATTTGAAGTTACTCGTTTTGTCATATTTTTTTCCTGTGCTGGAATTCACGTTTGGTTTAATGTCGATCGTAATTGCTAGGCTAGATGCACACCCTGAAAAGGACCGGAATGTTTAAATTTTATTGCGGAATGATATTATGTTTATATATATTGCAGCTCATAAGTTTTTATAAATGTATGTCCGTCTGAGAGATAATTTGATTGACGGTGTCTACCGAGTTTTGTAGTGAGGGCTACAGAAATCTGTAAAAAGCAATATTTGCCCATATTTATATTAACATGGTCATTACTGACCCTTAATTTACAAGGCTAAAACTGGTCTGCTTTTTGTCTGGCTTTTCTTTAAAACCCCCCCCCCCCATTTGGTTCAACTTTAATGGGAAGTCCTTAAAGAGAAAGCAGATTAAGACAAGACCTTGAAAGAGGGCTGCAGCTCTTTCAGTACTCAGGGTGGCAGATATCACGAGGATTGGTATGGCACTCTGATGCACAATACTGCGAAGTGGAAGGCAACGGCAAACCACCAAATTATGATATTCCAAGTAAAACACACCAAACTTAAATGATGGCGTCCTCTGGGGTAAAGCATTCCGGACATTAACTAGTTCCCCATTCAGATGTCCGGGCGGGGACTACCTCGGGGGATGTCATCAATAAGCGCAACTGGGTGTTACAGGCGAATGATAAGGATACCGTGGATAGAGAAGGTTAGAAATAAAGAGGTATTAGAAAGAATAGGAGAACAGAGGACTCTATGGAAGTCAACCTAGATTGGTAGGACACCTTCTTAGACATGAAAGTCTAGTCAGAGGCATATTAGAAGTAGAAACGGGAGTTAGGAGGGGTAGAGGTAGACCTAGATTAGATATGGGTTGTTCTAGTTTTAGGGAAATGCGAAGATTAGCTCAGGATAGAAAAGAGTGGAGGTGTGTGTCCATCCAGTCTTAGGACTGAAGACTTTATGATGATTATGAAATTAAACTGATCTATTTGATGTTAGAACTAGGACTGAGGACAAACATCTCTCATAGCTATTAGACCATAGGATAATTGTTTGAATTTGTAGACATATGTGTAATAATTTCCAGGGGATGTTACCTAGATGCGAATGAAACATTTCCTAGCAAGAAAAGACGGGAGTTGTGTATCGCTATTATTGTGGATCCTTTACCACTTTGTTTTTTTTCCATCTAAACCATGAACAATCTAAAGGACCACATGCCTGCTGTTGGTGTTGGTTCGGATATTCTGATATATTAATTGTAAACTTTTTGTATCATTTCTGTAAGTGTATATAAATTTGTTTTGGCTTTATCTACTGGGGTTTCCATATTAACATAGAACAAGAAGTTTCTTTGTGGTCTACCGAAAGTAAATCAAAAGTAANACAGATGGCGTTTACCGCGCCATTTGTGGTATTTTCTAAAACGCGCTGTTAAGACAGCAGGTAAAAGTTGGTCTGTGTTCTGTCGGAGATGCCTGCGACGCACTGATGAGATCCAAAAAGATCGAAATCGCGATCCGCGTATGGCAGTTTCGACAGAATATAGACCACTTCGAATTATTTTATTCGATTATGGTAACGTGCCTATTACGTTGAGGTTAGCTCCGCCGGGATTCCTTTCAGCAAGTAGATATCCATCTATTTAAATGGACCTTGTTGGAGCATACGTAATCCTAAAATGTAGCATCGTACTACAGTTGGCGTTTACCGCGCCATTTGTGGTATTTTCTATAAATTGTAGTGTTTTCGGTGGTTTTTGGTATTGCACAAATATGGCGCGATGAATTAAAAGAAAACACTAACACAGAATTGGTCTCTAAGATTTTTATAAACACACCAACAGGAACAAGACAATCACAAAACAATAACAACAACAATAACGATAATAACAATCAACGGTAAACTTACGAAATAGCTGGGAGAAAAGAACTAGAAGAACTCTGAAGAACTAACTGATTTTTGAAATCGAAAATAAGGGTATTTATAGTTAATAATTGTTGAAGATAGAAAAGGAGAAGGGTAGTTTAGAAGGAAGACAGAAGGTACAAGTACTGACGGTAAAAGTTCTCAGAAGTAAATAGAATGGAATGTTATTGACGGAGAAACCAGATTGTTAGTAATTATAAGACAGGGTACATGCAGGTATAGGGGTTCCAGGTAATGAAGCATGCTTAAGAGTTTGAAATTAAAGTTGAAAGTAAAGATTTAGAAATAAAAATTCAAATATTTACAATATGTACAGATCGCTACAGTACCCTCCTGCTAGTGATAAGGTCACGATTATGGGCTTGCTTGATAGCGATCGGTGAAGCGAACCTTCCTGCCTGATCGGTTAACTGTGGGTTGCATTTGATCCTGGATAGGTTGCTCGGACTGCATCGTTTGCTGAGGAACTTTTTCTTGCGTGTCGTCCTCTGACATGGTAAATGCTGGTTTTAAACGGTCGATTGAGACCACGACATTTTTGCCATTTATTCGCACGATGAATATTTTTACTGTCCTGCTAATGACCGTGTATGGACCTTCGTACGCAGGATGTAGGGGTTGTTTGGGTCCATTATATCGTACGAAAACTTGATCGGTGTTAGCTAACTCCTTAAAGACGAATGTCTTTTGTTGTTTATGACTTGTAGCTGCAACTGGGGTCAAGTTTGCGAAGTCGTTTTTGAGTCGCTCGGCGTAATCAGCTACATCCTCGAACGTTTCGCCCTTTCTTGGGGCTAGGAACTCTCCAGGCAATCGCAGCGGCTGTCCGTAGGTAAGATCCGCGGAGGTGGCTTGAATATCTTCTTTCCATGCCGATCGTATTCCCAATAAAACGGTAGATATCACTTCGGTCCATCGGTCAGTGGCGTGACATATGATAGCTGACTTTAGTTGCCGGTGTAATCGTTCTACCATTCCATTGGCCTGGGGATGATATGCGGTCGTACGTAGGTGGGTTGATCCAGTCAGTTCGTTGAG